GACTTAAAAAAAATCCCCACTATGTTTTCTAACTTTAATCCCTAAAATAATATCCGCTTCTCCTAAATCTTTCATTTTAAATACTCTTTTGTCTCATTTATGCCAATCATGTTAGTGCCGAATATTAACATGTCATCGACATACAAGCAAACAAGCACACCATATTTATAGTTCCTTTGGTACCCCTCTCATTCTATCAAAATGTTCAACTTAATTACAATTTTAGGTGTGGAATACCTTTTAACTGTGTAATCCTTAATCTGTAGATGAGGGAGCTATTTTTTCGGTTAAAATTTACCAAATGTACCACTAATACTCCAAAATTAATTTTTGGAGTATCGAAGTTGTTAGGAAAATTATAAAGGAGACATAAATTCTGAGGCGTGAAACACTTTCCTTAAAGAAATATTTGCTCCACTTGCTATTCAAAGTTGCTTCGGGTTAATACAAATTTTCTTCCCAGGATACAACAGAAAATGAAAATTTTAGCAATCAAATCTAAATTTTTTCACTAATTCTTTGCGAAACAAGTTTGTAGTATTACAGATATTTTTGACAGAAAAGTTTTGAAAAAGAAGTGAAGTTAAGATATATGAAATTATAAACTATTTAAAGGTTTGAAATGGTATTTTCAATAGTCATAACTTTTCAAAACACTCCTTGGAACAAACAGACACTTTTCAACAGCCATTATTCATATTTTCAAAAATTCAAAATCTCGCATTATTCGCGTACATGCGGCCTGCGGGTTAGAAGCTTATACATTGATCCATTTATCAAAGCCCAATAATTATTAAATATTTTTAAACCTCTAAAAGAATGCTCAAATGTCCTATGTGAGACTATCTTGTTTTTACAAACAAATAGTAACATAAGCTATTGGCTATGTATATTGATTGGTCGGCCTCTTGTCTCCTTTTTCGTTTTCTATTTTTCTCTTCTTTATTTCATTGACTTGAATGATTCGGACATTACTGTCTCTTTCCTTCCTTCTTTCTTTTCTTATTTTTTATTTATTTAAATCGAACAAGTTTAATTTCTTCGTTTCCTTCAAATTTTAGCTAACCCTTTGATTCAAGCAAAGACTTGTACATTAGTAATGTTGCTTGCAGCTGAATGCATTGATTTCTATTGGGAGGAAGAGGAAAATGTTAGACATGTGTCTCGCTTTTACATAAACAATGGAAAGAAAAGGCACAAGCTAACAATCTTTTTTATAAAAAAATAAACAATAAAAAATAAAAAATAAAAAATAAAATAAATAGCCCTCTTAAATCAAGAGATTTGGTCTGTTCATAAAAAAAATAAAAAATTCAAGAGATTTGGTCCAATCAGTCTTTGACCCCTATAACTAGTTTACGAGTATAACATTATCGAGGAATACTATATAAATGTCACGCTAAGAACACAGTCTTCTCACGTAATAGATGATTTTCAAAATAGTAATGAATTCACCGACAATGTAAGCATCATATATGTATATATACGTGTGTGTACTTTAACATTTTTCCTTTACATGGGTAGGGTGCCTTGACGGGATTTGGATCCTCTCCACTACAAAAAAGTAGTGGAGAGACAACTACTTTTAATCTCAAGCGTTGATTATTTAGTAGGCGGTTATGATACAATCTAAATCTAATACTTACCATACCCCCGTGTATTGCACTCATTCCTAATTTGCACTAAAAGAAAAAATCATAACCATCAACTAGATAATCAATGGTTGTGATTATGTAGTGGTCCCTCCACTATTTTTTTTGTAGTGGAGAGGATCCAAATCCGCCTTGACGTGCCTTTTCTCTTAAAAAAATACATTTTCCCTAAAACATTTTGATAAATATGAATTGGATGTGTAATAATTAATATTATGCTTGAATTCTCTATTTATAGAAGTGATATGAACATTAACCATGTCATGTTAAAAGATATCCAATAATTTGTCTATTCATGGGAGAGTAGAAAGGGATTTTACATAGATTGAATTGAAATGCCAAGAAACAAAGGAATGTAATAAGAAAAATAGAAGGAATGAACGTTAACTTAGCAATGTAATTAAGATCCATGTCCCTTGATAATTAACATCACCAATTATAAAACATAAATAGAGTAGTTAGTGGATTAGTTAAACCGACTACCTTCGAAAAACATGAAACCAGCGCAGCCTCTAATGACTCTCTACTAACTATGAATTAAAAGGAATAAAAGAAAAAGGCCACAAAGTCCTCTTGAGAAAAGTCATATATGTGCAATCTAACATTGTACACTGTTCCTTAAATTTTTTTTAATAAAGTTTAATTTGTACGTATTATATCTAACCCTAAATATTCTACTACCTAATAAACCATAAACTAATATAAACTGTCCAATTCGTTAGTAACTAATTTAGATAGGGAGTTTATGTGTCCACATGGCTACTAAATTTATGCTAAGAACACGTGAAGAAACTAAAAGTAAAGACAAGGACAACCTAGCTAAAACTTTATAATGCACACTAATTAAATTGGTCAGTAAGACGTGCCAAAACTCAAGCTCATGGCCACCTAATTAAACGTTATAATTTAGTCCTTCCTTCACGTTATAATCATCTATAAATTGATCCTTCCTCCAAAGCATTTTCACACAAATCAAATTCATCAATATCCAACGAGTGTACTCATTTAGGAGCTTTGAGATGGCTTCCCAAGTTATTCTAGGAATCGCCATTCTTTCTTTGGCTCTGGTCCAAGCTTTTGCTTATGATCCTAGCCCTCTGCAGGATTTCTGCGTCGCTGACACGAAATCAAAAGGTTGATTACATTCTCTTAATTATGATCACTAATATCATCATTATGTAAGATTAATACTACTGACGAGACATTAATGTCTATACTTATATCTAGCAAGAATAACAAAATAAGAAACATAGATATTATCTCTCCTCTTTCTGTTAACGTTATGCAAGAGTGATTAAAAGCCATGATCTCTCCTCTTTGTGTTGCAGTAATCGTCAACGGCTTTGTATGCAAAGACCCGAACACTGTAGTCTCCGAGGACTTCCTCTTCCGGGGACTCCTCAACGACGTCCGCCGCAACACCAACAACCGCGTCGGCTCCAACGTGACCACGGTCAACGCGGACGCCTTCCCAGGCCTCAACACCCTCGGTATCTCCCTAGCCCGCATTGACTACGCCCCCTACGGTGGCCTCAACCCTCCCCACAATCACCCTCGCGCCACCGAGGTCCTCACCGTCATCGAGGGCACTCTCCACGTCGGCTTCATCGCATCTAACCCCACCAACCGATTTTTCCAGAAAGTTCTGCAGAAGGGTGATGTCTTCGTGTTCCCGTTTGGTATGATTCACTTCCAGATGAATCTTGGTCATACGCCGGCGGTGGCACTGTCGGCGCTGAGCAGTCAGAATCCGGGGGTGGTTACGATTGCGAACGCGGTGTTCGGGTCGAACCCGAGGGTGTCGAAGGAGGTACTGAAGAGGGCGTTTCAGGTGGACGATAAAGTGGTGGCGCAACTCATGGCTCAGTTCAATTAGCTGGAATACATCGTACACTGGCGGGTGAGTAAATAAGCATAAAGTACGGGGTGCTTTTTGCGTTCATTGACAATAAAGATTTGTATGTGTATTTATCACTGTTGAAGTTATGAATTCAATGTTGGTTTTTCCATTACTAAAACTTTTGTGTCCTACTGGAAACTTGATTTGTTAATAAGTCAAATGAGTTGGAAAAAAGTTGTTATTATTATTTATCGGTTGATAAAAAGGCTAATAATTTGTACGTGTGTGTACATGTAGGCAGTTATATAAAAATGAAACTACGAGAGAATGCAAAAATCGGTTGTTATTAAAAAAAAGAATATACATATTTTGCTTAATTGAGAGCTACGCATCTGATGTATGATTCAATATTCAATTAAAAAAAAGAATATACATATTTTGCTTAATTGAGAGCTACGCATCTGATGTATGATTCAATATTCAAAGGCATTTTGTGTGATTGTCAAAGAATGTGATAAGTCCCTACGCATCTGATGTATGATTCAATATTCAAAGGCATTTTGTGTGATTGTCAAAGAATGTGATAAGTCCATTCTAGATTTTTTTTTTTAACAAATGATGGGAAATGTCTACAGGAGAAGAAGTAAAAAGAAATTGACTAGTAAACTTCTTGAAATATTTTAACGAATCTTTGATTGTATGGCATAGTCTTGATTCTTAAAAGGGAAAAATGCTTCCAGCCCCCAAAACCCAAGAAAACATGCTTCCCACCCCCAAGACTTTGTCAACGGATGTTTTGCCCTCAAAAATAAAGATTTTGTTCTCTGAGCCCCCAAAACACAAAACCCAAGAGATTAAAATATGTGAAGACCATAATACCCTTCTCTCTCTCTCTCTCTCTCTTTTTTATCATGATGTACTGAGATGATAGTTGAAATGATTTATGATGATTATTTTATTATTTTTATTTTTTATTATTTTCGTTGTTGATGAGGGGAACTAATTGTTTGTATTGGGAGATTGTTAAAGTTACGGGATATATATATATATATATATATCATGATGTTACTATGATGATGTTGAAATGATTGTTAAGGTTACGGGCTTAATTGTTAAGATTACGGGTTTAATTGTTAAGGTTACGGGTTTTTTGTTAATGTTACGGGTCGGTTGTTAAGGTTACGGGTTTGATTGTATGACATAGTCTTGATTCTTAAAATCACTAATAGATGTGGATAAGATCATTTGTTGGTAGGTTAACGACCTACATTTGATTAATAAACTGGCAAACTAACCTCTGATTCCCTCCTACCTTTGGAGAAATTAATTAAGGAAAATAAGTAAAATTAATAATAGATGATTATTCCGTCATATAATAGAAATAGAGGGGCGATTTGGGAATCTTCCCGTTCTCTTGTATGGATCACAGCAATTCGCTCTAACATGAAATGTTTTGCTAAACTCTGTGTTTGTATTACATATTATTGCAATTAAAGAAAGTTACAGGCCTTTCCAAAAATTCTCAGTTTCGTTCACCTGATAGCTTTTATTATCTTAAATAAATTTTCCAAAAATTCTCTCTGCTGCTACTTTTTTTTTTAAAGTGGAGGGGAGGGGATCCGAATCCCTTTCTTTGAGAGCACAAATACATGCAAACGAATAACATCAATTATAACATAAACTAATGATGACAAATCTATCTAAAACTTGGACTGCATGAGCCTGATAATATCCTCCTCGGTCTGAAACCCTTTAGCGAGAACAAAACTAGGAATCTCAGGCCTCGCCCCAAACATCGCATTAGCAATCGTATTCACGCCAGGATTCTGACTACTGAGCCCAACAATAGCCGCTGCATTCCTCCTCCCAATATTAATCTGAAAATGTATCAACCCCTGGGGAAACACAAACACATCCCCCCTCTTCAAAACCTTGCTGTAGAATTTATTATCGGGGTTCACCGTGACAAACCCAGCAAAGAGTTTCCCCTGGATTACTGTCAGGATCTCGGTGGCGCGAGGGTGGGTGTGCGGGGGGTTGAGACCGCCGGGTATGAAGTCCACACGGGCCATGGAGATGCCGAAGGTGTTGAGGCCGGGGATCTTGTCGGCGTTGAGGAGAGTTACCTTTGAGCCGACTGGGTTTGATGTGTTGCCGCGTTTGTTGAGGCCGGAGTAGAAGAAGTCGTCGGCTGTGACCAGGGTTGGGTCCTTGCAGGCGAATCCGTTCATAAATACTGCAGAAGTTAATTGGACAGGGTTAAATAGGATTGTGTTGTCCCTCTCTGCGAACGAAAGGAATAAGAAAGTGTTTCGGAATAAATTCAGAGATTAATTAATCAGACATCTTCATCACCAGATCGATTGCACGATCATCTTATGGTGTGTTTGGGAAGGAAGGGGAAGGAAGAAGAAAAATTCCTCTTCCTTCCCTTCCCCTCCATTACACCCCAATTTGGGGTGTAAGAATTTGGGCCAAATTTCCCCTCCATTCCCCTCCTCTATCCTCCTAAATGAAACTCCCAAACAAAGTTAAAATGAGATTTCTCTTCCCTTCCCCCTCTCTACCCTCCATCCAAACAGGCAATTAATTTGTTATGTTATGATAACGGCTTCGGGTAGCATGACACCTTGATTCATAAAAATAGATTAATTATTTTCATGTTCTAATCTTAATTTCCTCTTACCTCCTCTTCATTGTACTTCCTCACATCTTCTCTTCATGTATTTGCACGTACTTACCTACATGATAAATATCATGGACATGCATTTTGTTCTGGTTACTCCAAGTAGCATCCAAGGTGCGAGTACAAAGTTTAAAATTGCGGGCTTCCAAATTGAAAATCCATATTGTTGAAAGTGATGTAATTCACATGGATCACCTAGAAACAAAATGTACAATAATAAAACCCTGTTAACCAAATACAGGAATTATTTATACCTATTAATGTTCTAAGAAAATGAGGTATGAACAATTACCATTTGACGTCTTGTCAGCGACGCAAAAATCTTGAACAGGGAAGGGTTCGGAAGCTATTGCAGAAGTTGAAATTAGAGTCAGGAGGGCGAAGATCTGGAGGAAGCTAACAGCCATCTGTGGTTCTTGAAATTGAGGGCAAGTAGACAGCTAAGTTGTTGTGTAGATCATTAGATCATATATAGATATGAGTACCACTGTTTATAGGTAACAAGTTTTTTATATCGTCACAAATGAATTTGAGATTCTTTAAAAGTTTTGAAATAACATAAAATGGAAGTTAATTAAACACGCAGATAGGAGGTTAGAGAAAGAGATTAGGCCGGCAGTATGTTAAACTGAACTTTAATTTATCAAATTACCAAACGCTTGGCCGGCTTGACGCAAAGTTCTATAATGTGATTTAACTTTGAAAAATTATAACTGTAGTAACACTAACAAGCAATTAAATGAATCCAAAATGTGTACGAACAATTTTTTTGGTGAGGAAAACTGTTTATGATGCAAAACTCACGGACACGATCTTTACATCAATTTGTTGACTCATGCGAGCTTTGGTATTTAGTATTGTGCTTTGTTAACTAATTTATATTATCTGCTGGTTTCGGATAACATAGTTTTTTCATTTAAAATATTCTTGACCTGTTCTGCACGGTACTAGACTAACTAATGTATCAAATGTTAGAAGTAACACAAACGGCAGATGAGATATTGACAAGGAAATTCTTTATGTGAATCATTCCATCAGTACTTTATGATAATTCGGATAAACCCTATTGAGAAAATAATTTAATGATTATATATAGAGGTCTCACCAAATGTACAAATCTTGAAAAGTACTAGAATCCAAACAGAGAAAACACATTCCAGCAAATGAACAAAAAAAGTTATTCACAACCAACCCAGAATATTTAGGATAAAGTTTTTTTGTTACAGAACAAAGGAAGAATGATGATAGTACAACTACAAGATCTAAGAAAGTGAGAACCTCTACAAATAATCATAAAGTTTCTATAGTGCAGGCCAAGGATCCGCTTACATATTCCTGCTCAGCATATTCCAAAGCAATTGTTGTTTACTTCCTGCCTATTCTCTCTGATGGTAAGAGAGCTAGTGTATGAGACTCAACCTTTATATAGCATAGTATTGTGGACTGTATTTGCATTATTCATAAATAACAAGCCAGCAATAACAAATATTCATTTTATTTAAAATTATTCAAATTCATGGAAGTCTGTTAAATTAGCCCAAAAAAACTTCATCCTCGGGACCTCGCCCCAATACCAAAAGAAATTAGATAGATGTCTTCAGACACCTAAATACCTATAACTAGTTCTTTCCAAGAATCAGAAGAAGAAGAAGAAAAAAGGTATGCAGTATTGAGGACATTGCAGGATTGAGAGTCATCAATCTTCACGACTTCGACATATGCTATCTATTTTGGTTTGATTTTTTTGGCTATCCATGTCTAAGTGTAGGTAGGTTACTACATGGGAATATACCAAAATTTTCTTCTTCTTTCTCCCACCTTTTCTATCCTTTTGTTGTCAAGTAATCACTCTCTTCATTAATGAAACTAATAATGGATCCTCACCTTTCCTCTAAAAAAACGAAGTTGGTAGATGCAATTAAGAGAGAAATGCTAGCTTAGGACACTTCAAGAGCAAGAGGAAGTAGAAACTTGTGATACAAGCAGCTGAGCCCAGAGCACACAACCAAAAGTTTAGGTTAGTGTAGTATTTTTACAAAGATGATCAATATTAAGTATTTTTACAAAGAGGACCAAAAGTTTAGTTTAGTTTAGCATTTTTTTCGAGAAAAGGCCTTTGGCCAATTATTTATTGATAATAAAGAGGACCAATATTTACAAAGAAAGGGAAAAAAGAAAGAAAAGAAAACGAGAGAGGAACAAAAAAGATAAAAAATGATGGTGGCCCAAGTAAATTACCACAACCCACAGGAGACCCATCCAACGTTTAAACTTTAATAAAAGGAGGAACAAAAAAGATAAAAAATGATGGTGCCCCAAGTAAATTACCAGAACCCACAGGAGACACATCCAACGTTTAAACTTTAATAAAAGGCCTTAGCCCAAGCCCACACATACAAAAACAATTCAAACTTGTGCCAAGGACCAAAGGCTAGGGAAAGGAAACAAATGGCAGGGTAGACGTAAGGACATTTTGCACATAAGACAGGTTCATGTGAACTAAATGTATCATATTGTGTAGAGTCAATTGTAGATATATTTCCTCTATTCTGAGTTTAGCAATTTATTACCCCAAATATTTTATTTTCATTTAGATTTCTTGATAGCCAAACGGAGTTATAACTCTCTTATCACTGTAGTACACCTACAAGACGGTCTTCTGAAATAGAAATGTCACAGGTGCTCTTAGCAACACATTCATGTCACATGATGTGTCACTACAGATGCAGAAAAATATCCATATCAGCTGATATATCCGTATATATATCCGTTAGGATAAGAATATGATTACTAAATATCTGCATCAATTGGATATGATTAGGGGTAGAGATATGTAGTGAAATATACGTATGTGTATCCAAAATTATCCGAGTACGTGTTAGCCACACATTTACAATTGTTTTAATCTTAGATTAATGGGTTTGGTGTTAATTTTAATGATCAAGAGATAAAATCTTAGCTTTTAAGATATAACAAACATATTAATGAACACTTATTATAGCATATGAACTATATTTTTTAATATTATCTGCTTTTCTCATGTCGTTTTCTATCCACATATACATCCGCATATATACCAATATCCGCATCTGATTTTCGTGTATATTGTTATGTTAAGTATCGTACCCGAGCACTAACCGAACAGTTTGCACCCCTACATGTTACATATCCGCATGACATTTATCTGGATTGATCCCTATTAAGCACTAAGCACCTATAAGCCGACCTATCCGAGTTTATCCTATTAAGCATTAGCCATCACCCATCGGTGTGTTATTGACAAACACACATGTTTGCTATGGAACTCTTGGGACGAGCCAGTCCAAGAGCAGCCATGGAGGTCGCTCTTAAATGGTGCTTTTACACCATTGACTTAGCTCGTCCTCAGAGAAAAAAAAGATCGTTCATTAAAGACATCAGCAAGTCAATTTTATTAATCCGACATTCAAAGAGATACCATGCTCATGCATTATGAATTAATTGACGCATTGTTCAAAAGTTCCTAGTGGTTACTAATTCCTATTAAAATGTCACATTCACCTCTTCAACAACTCCGCATTGTTCAAAAGTTCCTAGTGGTTACTAATTCCTATTAAAATGTCACATTCACCTCTTCAACAACTCCCTTACTAATCCTTTCTTCTAGTGGTTACTAATTCCTATTAAAATGTCACATTCACCTCTTCAACAACTCCCTTACTAATCCTTTCTTCGCCAACCAATTCCTCTTTAAAAAGAGAATAATGCATCAGACATATGTAATAAAGAGGTTTTAAAAACTAAAGAGGTAAAGTAATACTTACCTAATCCCATAGACGCTTCTAACTTCTGAACATGAGGAAACGACCGCTTCATCTAATAGGATTTGAAAGAAGAGGAATTGGCTCCTTAGTTGTTGATGATGACTAGTCAAGCCCACGAAGAACAGATGAAATTATTTTGAGATTTGTCTGCAAGCAGCTTGAAACCTATAAGAAAGCAAAATTTAGTTGTCAGGTATTGACGTGGTATGCATTTAATCAATTTGAAAGAGCTCTAAGCCATCAGAGTATGATGACTGCGTGAACAATGCTAATTAATAATCACAAAAATAAAACCTATATATGTCACCAGCCATGCCTAAAGTAAAGCCTCAAAAGCACAAAAATACTCTTTACATAATAAAAAGAAACAACGATTAGTTGCAAGAAGAAAAACCAACATTTGAGAGTCCTTCGGTCTCATGTCGTTGAATAGGCATTACTAACTTTAAAAAATAAACAAACATTCACAAGACTTCGAGTAGCCTGTAAGATAGAAATCAACTAGATGAAGAAGACGAGCAAATTTCTCAATTCACCACGCAAATCCTTGTAAAAAGAAAAAGGAGAATAAAAAATTATAAATTTTATCACGTATTAACTAGTTATTCTGAAGAATGAATATCCGTCTACCTCTGTTATTCACTTCAAGAAAAATGTTAATCAAGAAGAGATTCTTTGATAGAAGTAACCGAGCATGCAAACAATTCAGTTCAATCTATTCATGTAACCAGAAATTAATCCTCTAGTACTCTTGCGTTTTGCATATAAATGCTAGCGCATGAAATTAAAGTTTAAGATCTGAAACACTTCTTTTTTTTTTTCACCACCACTTGTGCTGACAAAGATTTTTAAGGAATTTCTAATCAGTAAGTGTGCACTGATGAAAGAAAAGTAGTAAGTTTGCACTGAAAGAAAAGTTCGTATCCTGTAATTCCCACCTAATAACTTGATTTTTTCCCCCTCTCCTCGTGTTCGCTTACTAAGTCTACATCTGCATGTTGAAACCAATAAAGGCTGCCTTAAAAAGTCTATTGACTGCATTCAGCAGTTTGGGGCTACTTCCAGAAGGCAAATACCAAACACCGGTGGTTATCTATTCATAGGGTAATGGTGACGCGTAAAGAAATTATCTCCTCAGACAATTCTTTAAAGAGAAAAGGACCATATTCATAGTATATTATCTATAGCTCTTTTTGTGTCTAAGCGCCCAAAGAACCAGTTGTTATTGTTCATTGACAACAATCAAACTGAAGTTGACTACAACAATAAGAAAAGATCCTGAGTACAAGGTCCAATTGAGTTACTATTTCAAGATTTTACCTGTCAAAATGAAAAATAAAATATAAAAAAGGCACAAGGACACACTGGATTTTGTTTTGTGAAAAAAAAAAAATCTGTCATCTTAATGGTGATAATAAATAAAGGGCGGTTTAGGTCAATACCCAATAAAAAAAGAGTGGTTAAGGTCAAGAAAAAGATGTATGTTTTTGGGAAAACAATAAATAGATACACAAGAAAGCAGGAAACGATATGTCATGATTTGCCCTGTCAAAGATAGGGTTAAAGTAAGGAAATATACACTGAAAACATATTTCACAAAACGTGGGCGGATGGAACAATAGAAAACCACAATGAACTGGGAGTCCATAACTGTTGTGCGCCGCGGAAGCCCGATTAGACAAATACAAAAGCACACATAAGAACAATAGTAGACCACAAATAACACAAGCCAACCAATCTCAGCAAGAACACAAGATATACGTGGTTCGGCAATGTGCCTACGTCCACGGGGCAAGGAGGGGGAAGCTATACTAATGGAAATCAAGGGGAATACAAATTAGGGTTACAAATCTTACCCAAAACCCTCTTACAAGACCACTTGATCTCTCCAATAGACTCCAACAATAGAAGCCCTAGAAATCCCCTTTCAGCAGCTCAAAATCACTAAAGCTTAACCCTAGAAACGAGTTTAGGGTTTATATACAACTCACAAACGAAACGGGTCTGGAAACAGAACTCAGGCCCAAACCGCTTCGGCGGTCGACCGGCACGGTCGACCGTGATCCATCGCGGTCGACCGTCACGGTCGACCGCCCTCCATCCAGCAGCAGATCCAAAAGTCCAGAGAGTTCGGCGGTCGACCGTGACGTATTCAACAAGTTCAAACAATGACCAAACTTCACACCTGATACAACTTTGGTCAACATATCAGCAGGGTTATCCTTAGTGTGGACCTTCTCCAACGTGACATCACCATCATCCAATACGTCACGTACAAAGTAAAATCTGACATCAATGTGCTTCGTGCGTGCATGGTAGACTTGGTTCTTCGCCAAATAGATAGCTGACATACTATCACAATGTACCTGAATGGTCTCCTGTGCAATCCCCAAATCATCCAACAAGCCATGTAGCTACAAAGCCTCCTTCACTGCTTTAGTCACCGCCATATATTCCGCCTCCGTAGTAGAAAACGCCACTGTAGACTGAAGAGTACATCTCCAACACACCGGTGCACTAGCCAATGTAAAAACATAACATGTAGTGGACCGACGCTTATCAAGATCTTCGGCATAGTCTGAATCCACGTAGTCAATACAATCCTGCCCTGTCTCATCATTCTTCGTAAATATCAACCCAACATCCACGGTACCCTTAATATACCGTAGAATCCACTTCACGGCCTCCCAATGCCCCTTCCCGGGGTTATGCATGTACCTAGATACCATGCTCACGGCTTGTGATAAATCTGGCCTAGTACACACCATAGCATACATTAAGCTACCCACTACACTGGCATACGGAACTTTGGACATGTAGTCCATATCCTCCACTGAAACTGGTGACATCAAAGCTAAAAGCTTAAAGTTGGGAGCTAATGGAGTACTCACCACCTTGGTATTACCCTCAAAACTGAATTTCTTTAGCATCTTCTGCAAGTAACTCCTATGTGTAAGCTTCAATCTCCCCTTCACCCTGTCTCTCTCAATTTCCATACCCAGTATCTTCTTAGCCTCTCCCAGGTCCTTCATCTCAAATTCAGATGACAGCTTCTTTTTTAATTTCCCAATAGCTAAAGTGTTCCTAGAAGCTATGAGCATATCATCAACATATAATAACAAATAAATATGCTCACCATCCTGTAGCTTGTGCATATAAACACACGGGTCATAAGGGCTCCTTGTGTACCCTCGGCCAATCATAAAGCTATCAAATCTCTTGTACCATTGTCACGGTGATTACTTCAGTCCATAAAAAGATTTCGTCAATTTGCACACTAAATTTTCCCTTCCTGCAGCTTTAAACCCCATAGGTTGTATCATGTAGATCTCATCATCTAAGTCTCCATGTAGAAAGGCCGTCTTCACGTCCATTTGGACCAAATCTAAGTCCAGCTGTGCCACAAATTCCAATAAAATCCGAATAGACGAATGATTCACAACGGGTGAAAATACCTCGTTGTAATCAATGCCCTCAAGCTGTGCATATCCCTTGGCAACCAATCTGGCCTTGAACCGAATGTCCCCAATAGAAGATCCCTCCTTCTTAGCATACACCCACTTGCAACCAATAGCTTTCTTACCCTTAAGTAGCTCTGCAAGTTCCCAAGTGTCATTCTTCTGAAGAGATTGCATTTCCTCCTCCATAGCATTCCTCCACCTAATAGAGTCAGGGCTGGACTCTGCCTCCCTAAATGTGGCAGGAATCAAATCATCAACAACCTCCACAGATAAAGCATATGCCACCATGACATCATTATATCTAGCTGGCCGATGAATCTCTCTCCTCGGTCTATCTGCTGTAATGGACCCCTGAGCATGACCCTGCTCCTGAGCCTCACCATCCACTGTATCCTCCAAATGCCCGACTGTCATCTCATCTCCTTCCGGTGTCACCTCTGTAGGAGTCTCAATGGGCACAATGCTGACTGGAGTGGGTGGAGTCACATCATCCTCTACCTGCTGCGATATCCCTCCTGTCTGATCTTCCTCTACCTGCTGAGGAACTCGAGGCTTCATCATGTACGCCTCATCGAATGTGACATCTCTGCTAATGATCATCTACGCCTCATCGAATGTGACATCTCTGCTAATGATCATCTTCTTGTCTTGTGGATCCCATAGTTTGAAGACTTTTACACCTTCTCTAAATCCCACAAAGATAGCCTTCCTCGCTCTCGGATTCAACTTCTCATCACTAACATGGAAATAAGCTGGACACCCAAATATCCGAAGAGTCTCATAATCATTAGCCACAGAATCAGACCAACGCTCCATAGGAGTCTTCCCCTCTATCGCAGTGCACGGCAACCTGTTAACGAGATGGCTCGCATAAACTAACGCCTCGGCCCAAAAAGATCTAGATAATCCACTCTGCGTCATCATACATCGCACCTTCTCCAGCAAGGTACGGTTCAATCTTTCGGCCACCCCGTTCTGTTGCGGTGTCTCTCTAACTGTAAAGTGTCTTCTAATGCCGTGATCCCGGCAAAACTGCAGAAATGGATCACTCTTATACTCTCCACCATTGTCTGAACGAAGAGTCTTCACCTTTCTACCTGTCTGCAGCTCCACTTTCTTCTTCCACTCCACAAATATATCCAGGACCTCATGTTTATGCTTCATGGTATATACTCAATTCCTCCTGGAATAGTCATCAATGAAAGTGGCAAAATAATTTGCCCCACCAAGCGATGTGTGCTTAGAAGGGCCCCAAACATCTGTGTGAATGTAGTCTAATATACCTTGGGTGTTGTGAATTGCGGTGCCAAACTTTACTTTAGTCTTCTTCCCAAGAATACAATGCTCACACAGTTCCATCTTGCAGGTCTTTGCACCTTTCAATAGCCCCTGTTTTGCCAATGATTGTAGGGACTTTTCACCTGTGTGTCCAAGCCTCATGTGCCATAGTGTGGTAGTGTCCTCCTCTGTGGTGATAGAAGCAGCCAGACCCCCTATAACTGTCTTGCCCTTCAAGTAGTATAGGTTGTTTTCCCTGACACCTCGCATCACCACTATGGACCCCTTCATGACCTTCAAACTAGCATCTTCTAAGATCACTCTATAACCGGATGCCTCCAAAGTCCCAAGAGAAATGAGGTTCTTCGTCAACTGCGGCACGAACCTCACTTCTTTCAATTCCCTAGTCACCCCGTCATGCATTCT